GCTCAACACTGGGAAGGTTCCTGAGCAGCTCAGTGAATAAGGGAGTGTCAAGTCTGCCCCATCTCCACCGCTGCATCTCCGGTTCCTGAACCGTCTGTTTTGCCAACACGAACAAGAGGAAACGTTAAAAACCCGCATCAGATCGTGTCGGATTCCTGTGTTTCAGCGTAAAATCCTAGAGTCTCTGCCTTCCCCACAGACTCCTGCTGACTGACCTCTTGGGCCTCTGAGACCTGCCGCCTAACCTGGGCTCCCCCTCACAAGTTAGGTTCCAGCTTTCCACCCTTGTCCTAGGACGTTGTCATCTTAGAGCCTCTATGCTGCAGGGCCCTCATCTGGGGTGCTTTCCCTCAGGTCTCCTTGGGGCTCTGCCCTCACTTACTTAGCTGGGCTGTATGTCAGCTACTCAGGAAGCTGCGGGGGGCGGGAGGGGGGCGGAGAGGGGAGGATACCCAATTCCAAAAGGCACCTGGCGCCAGGCCGCTGCCACTTTGTAAGCAGGTACTGATTACGCAAGCATTTGCTGGATGCCTCTTTTGCAGCAGCAATAAGTACTATTGTGGGTTCTGGGTTTTAAATGACATGGTCTGGGAAGGTCTCGCCGCGGAAGTGATGTCTGAGCAGGAAGGTGAGCGGGCAAGTGGAGTGGGTCCTGTGGGTCTCTGGGGAGATGTGCATGGGCAGAGGGAATGGTGCATGCCGCGGCTGTGAGGGGGACTGAGCTTAGTGTGTTTGGGGAGCATCTGGAGGCCAACATGGAGGAGGAACACAATGAAGTGAACAGGGAGGGAGATGATATGGAAGGCTTGCTGGTGACCCAGTCAAGTTGGGCCTTGTCTATCTAGTCTGAATAGAGTTCTGGGAACAGGACCTGGCACACAGCAAACACTCAGTAAATGCTGGCTATCACTTATGATGATTCATTATTCCCAGTCTTCAGTGAGGGAAACTGAGCTGTGTGAGTCACTTAGAACAGGGGTTTATAATCCATTAAGTGTTTAATAAATGGTCCTTATCATTTATTATTACTGCTGTTGTTATTATTCCCAGGCCACAGATGAGGAACTCCAAAGTGTGTGTTTCTCTTAGAACAGAGGTTTTTATGCAATACATGCTCAATAAATGGTACTTATTATTTATTATCCTCATTACTATTCTTGATATTCCCGATTTAGAGATGAGGAAAATTGTGGCAGTAAATGTAGACAGTAAGCCCACAGTAAATGTTGGGTCTCACCATTGTTGCTATTATCACCCCAGGTGCACAGATGAGGCCCAGGAAGCTTAAAACCTTGGCTTTAATGCCAATCTCCTGCCCCACGGACACTGCACACCTGCTGTAGGTGAGCCTCCAGGAAACTTTAGTGTCTTCTTCATTATCCTCTCTGTGGCACACAAATGAGGATGGCCTAATACTCCACAGACATAAACACTCTTCTCCTAGGATTCAAATCCTGGCTCACTGGCTGAGTGTGACCTCAGGCAATTGTTTAATGTCTCCCAAACTCAATCACCAAGTTTGTAAAATGGTCTTACCAACTGCGCAGAACTTATTATACACCTGACCAACTCCCCACTCCTCCAGAAACCTCCTCTGAACCCCTAGATATGCTACATTGGCTCTCTGCGGTGCAGTACAGGAGACAGCTGGTGCGTGGGATTGTCTCTCCCCGACTGGACTGACTCTGAGGTGGATGGACATGTCCACAGGGCACACACACAAAGATCTGCACCCCGATCCCTTCTCTGTACATGTATCTCAATTTGTGGATGAACAGTTCACATAGTCTTGCACTTCAGAAAATGTTAGAAAAAGTGGATTTGCAGGATGTTTGGAAATTCTCAGTGAAACCAGATTTCTTAAGTAGCTCGAGCAAAATCATTGACTTTATCCCCTGAACAACTAGATTAGCATCAAGTTTCTTCTAATGCCATTAGCAAGAGGCTCAAAATGCGTACACTGCAAAATTACCAGGCTTCCAGAATGCATTTTACATAACTGTCATGCCACCAAGACTGTTGCATGGCTGTTTAGGAGCAGGATAATCACATGTTCTTAAAGTTATATCCTATGGTTTATTTATTCATACTGAAGAAGGATATGCCTTTGCAGTGGGGAGATGAGAGAGCTACCCTGAACCAGGGCCAAATTTAGCATCACCGGTTGTGGGACAGTTTGACCTTATCTTCTTCTTGGTGTGATGAGTGGGAGGCACACGTCATCACACATGTTAAACTTTAATCAATAGGGAACCGACACAGTGAGGAGTACTATGGGACAATTGCCCTGGACACTGGAAAGGAGTCACCGTCATGAAGAACAGAGAAGGCTCTGATGTACCAGTTTCCTGTCACTGTGGTAAAAAAACTACCATAAACCTGGTGACTAACCAACACAAATTTATTCCTTACAGTCTGGCGGTCAGAAGCCTCAGCTCTGGAGGACTAAAATCAAGGTGTCATTGAGGCTATGTTCCTTCTGGATGCTCTCGGAGGGAATCTATTCCCTACCTTTTCTAGCTGCTCAAGGCTGCCTGAAATCCTTGACTCCGATCACTCTGACCTCTGCTTCCATCTCGCATCTCCTTCACTGACTCTGACTATCCTGCTTCCCTTTTGTAAGGGCCCTTGTGATGACATTAGACAATCAGGAAAATCCAGCTCAAGATGTCTACACTTACTTCCTGCATTCAGTGCCCATAATTCATTCTCAGAACTTGGCTTCTTTGTGTCTTTCAGGTTCAAATGTGAATGGACCTGGAGAGATCAGCATTGCCAAAGACTAAAGGGTTCACCTGAAAGAACTGAGCTAGAAAGAAACCAACTGTAAAAACAGAGGAGCCAGAGGAGGGACTGAAGGGGATGCATGCAGAACAGAACCTGAAGTGCTGAGAGGGTGTGGCCCAGGGACATCATTAGATTCTCCAGGTAGATAATAGTTTTTCCCTCTGGGCAGGTGATGGAGGACTGGGGGCCAGACTTCCTCCCTTAGAATCCCAGCTCTGCTACGCACTAGCTATGTGATATACATATATATATTCATATATTCAGTCATAAAAAACACAGACACACACACAAGAAAATCCTATCATTTTGGGGACAATATAGATGAACCTTGAAGGCATTATGCTAACTGAAATAAGTCAGACAAATACTGTATGATTTCACTTATGCGTGGACTCTAAAAAACACCAAAATTTATTAAAGACATGTTATTCTTTTAGGAGTGACCTTTGTAATAAAATTCTTACAATGAGAAATAAAAAACAGAAAAAATCATACAAAAAGAGATCAGACTTCTGGTTACTAGAGGCAGGGGCTGAGGGTAGGAGGAACTGGAGGAAGGTAGTCAAAAGATAAAAGCATCCACTAATAAGATAAATAAGTTCTAGGGATGTCATGTACAACATGATGACTCTAACTAGTGCTGCTGTGTGATGTATAGCAAAATTTAAGGGAATAAATCCCAAGAGTTCTTATCACAAGAATTTTTCCCCTTTATTCTTTCTTTTGTCTCTATATGAGAAGATGTATGTTAGATGAACCTATTATGGTAATCATTTCACAATATATGTAAATAAAACCAGAAAAAGGAAATTAATCCACATGTAGGACAAAGTTAAACTATTTTGTAAGCCTCTGGAAACCATTTAACAGAAAAGGCATAATCTTGCATAATAGCAGATTGACTGAATACTCTAGAAATTTGCTGATTTAGCATTTAATTCTCACAGAGCAATTACTGGGAAAACAAGTTCTGTCGAGATAATATAATTAACATCGCTACAGTATTTAGATTTTTAAAATCACTGCTGAGAAGGTAGATATGGCGGAGATAATAGATAAAATGTGTGTGTGTGTGCGCTGTGTATGCATGCAGCATGCACATATACATACAACATATACATGCATACACACACAAGCACACACAGTGGTATTAAAAAGCCTTATTCTTTAAATATATATTAAAAAGAAGGCAATAGCTGTCTCAGGAGAGGAAGAATCAACAACCAGTGGGTACCCCACAATCAAATTCACGAGAGTTGGAATTTACAAAGGACAACATGAAATTCTACTTCTCTCTGGACCAGGCCTCACAGATAAAGGTCTGGGAGAGCTGATTCAGTAAGAATTCTCCCCATTTGCCAGCTTCT